GTAGGGTCCGGGCCACGAACCCCGGTCGACTACGTGGGAGTCCAGCGACATAGCCATTATGCTAACTGCTGGTTCCCGGGACTTTTAAAAATAGTTTTAAAATGTATTAGAGGAACAGGGAACCAGCAGTTAGCGTAATGGCTATGTCGCTGGATTCCCACATAGTCGACCGTGGTTCGTGTCCCGGACCCGGTGGCTTAAAACTCACGCCGGGCGCGTGTGCGTGCGTGCCCAAGATCCCGAGAGGAGAATGGAGGAGAAGGGATTGCGGCGTGACCATCCCCCCTGGGGGGTGATTTCTCGCTTTCTGTCTCTTTGTCTCTCTCTGTCTGTCTGGCGAGCATACGCGCCCTACAGTGAAAATCTCTCAAAAAAAATAAATAAATAAATAAAAAAATAGAGAAAAAAAAATGTATTAGAGGAACAGAAGTAATTAAAAAAAAAAAACTTTTATTCTGACATTCTACAGTCTGCATTAATATACTGATTTTATAATGTTTTACTTCTGCCTTAAGATTTAGGTTTTTAAATATATTTTTGCCCTGAATTGAGTGTTAATTTGATGGAAACTCTGATTTTAAAATCAGCACTTACTGAGTTCTAATAAATAAATTAAACCTAGGGGGAAAAAGAAAACTTTTTAAACCAACTTTTTCTCCATCGAGTGTGCGGGACAGTTTGCCCTTGTGATTAGAAGCATGGTCTTTAGAATCACATAGATAGGTTTCAGATCCCCCACTTCATCACTTACTGTCTGTGTGATCTTGGGCAAGTCATTTAACTTCTATGAGCCTCAGTTTCCTCATCTATAAAATGGATAATAATAGTATCCATTGAAGAATCTGAGGATTAGAAGAAATATCCTCATTGAGCATGCCTCTTTTAAAATTTATGTATTTAATTTTACTTATTATTATTTTTAATTTGATCAGAGAATGAAAGAGAAAGGGAAAGTGAGAAAGCAAGCCACCAGGTCCAGGACTTGTACCGTGGTCAGCCACGTGGGAATCCAGCATCTTAACCACCTTGCCAGTCACCACTCTGAACATACCTCTTGTGTAGTGCCTCACTCATGTTTTGAGGGGGGTGGATCTTAAGGTTTTCATAACTAAACTGCTGGAAAAGGGATACTTCTGTAACCTAATTGATGAAAAACAAAGCAGTTATTCTGCTGCTGCTCTTATAGGATTATTTTCTCATGGGAAGCATCTTTTCTGCTTTATAGATATTATTGAAATGGATTCAAAGCGAGTGCCTCGAGATAAGCTGGCCTGCATCACCAAGTGCAGCAAGCACATCTTCAATGCCATCAAGATCACCAAGAATGAGCCAGCTTCAGCGGATGACTTCTTGCCCACTCTCATCTACATCGTTTTGAAGGGTAACCCCCCACGCCTTCAGTCCAACATCCAGTACATCACCCGCTTCTGTCACCCTAGCCGACTGATGACTGGAGAAGATGGCTACTATTTCACCAACCTGGCAAGTATTGGGTTTCTTGGTATCATACAGAAGAATGCATTTCTTTTAGAGATGTTCTTTTTTTCTTTCCTTCCATGAGAATTCTCAAAATTCTGTACTTTTAATCCCTTGAAGCCTGACCCTATTACTTATCATCCTCAGTCACAGTGTTCAGCTGCTTGTTAACTGAACTTCCAGGCATCTCGGGAGTGTTGTTTGCCATTGGGCAGGTTTTGGAACACGCTTTCTCATAATGAAACTTGTTCCAGTATTTGCTGTTTTTCATCCTTCCAGGCACATGGTGGCTCAAACCGTTTACTCTTCAGACAAGTTTAGGTGGCCCAAACAGGATGAGATGAGTACTCCTACTTCTTAACATAAATGAAACCTTTTAGGTTCAGTTTTTCATTCACAGAGGATCAGACGGTTTGGAAATTTCTGAGATATGTGGAGCTGGAGACATGGTGGGTATAAAGATATACGAAGTAAGACCAGCAAGTGTCACAGGGTAGCCGTAGTTGCCAACAGTGGAGGCACTGCTCACCCACACCCCGCAGCTTCCAGCACCCTCCTTCTGCAGCCTTAAGTAATTTGGGCCTTCACTGCTTATCTTCTTGTCTGGCTCAGAGTCCAGCTTTCACTTCCACCATTCCAATGAACCATGCTGGCATAAGGAAAAATACTGCTAGTTACAAAAGCCCCTGGGAAGGCACGTCTTCATCTTATTTAACACTCTTGAGTACTCCTTTGTTCTGGAACTTCCATTTGTCCTTTCCATAGTTGTTCTTTTTTTCCCGGTAGACTCTGGATCCTCTACTCTCCTTTTGAATTGTGTTATTTCCTGGGATCTGTCCTCTATGCACCTCACTTCCTGCCCTGTCTCTTCCAGTCACTGAGCTCTGTCAGACCCTATACAATGAGACACACAGATCGCTGTCACCAACTCGATCTCAAAATGAGCTCCCACTGTATATGTTGTACCTCAAATAGAATTTGTTCAAATCTAAAACAGCTTCCCCATCAAATGTTTTTTCTTTTTTAATATATTCTATTCCTGCTAGTGGCAATACCATGTATTCATCACCTAAGCCAGGCTATAATGATCTTAGATTTTTAAATTCCTCTTCTCTCCAAACAACAGAGGGGCCACAGTGATTCCAATTCCACAGTAGTGTGTGAGCCTTGTGTGGAAAGGTTAAGAGGGTATGTATGTTCTTATAAGATGAGTAAATTGCTTTTTTTTTTTTTAAAGGTTTTTGCCAGAGGGCACATGTACTTGCTGGAAAGAGACAGTGAGAGGGAAAGTTAAAAAATACCTCTCCCGCCCCACCCACCCAGGGGGGATGGCCATGTCACAATCCCCTCTCTATCCTCTTCCTGGGATTTTGGACACACACACACACACACACACATGTGCCTGGTGTGATTTTCTTTCTTTCTTTTTTTTTAACAGTTATTTTTTTAAAAATAATTGTTTTATATAACTTTATTTATTTGTTTATTTTAATTTGACCAGAGAAGGACAGAGTGAGAGAGAAAGAAG